GCAACGCCGAGGGTTGCAGTTCCGTTGCCGGTCCCCGGTCCGGTACGGGGGCAACACTGAGGGTTGCGATCCATTGCCGGACACGGAAAAAGACAAAAGACAAAAACAAAAACAAAAAAAAAAACCATTAATCTGGCCCTGATATCTAGATATGTTAAATAACCTTCTGGTTCCTAAAAACACCCTGCTTAGGGATCACAGCACTTCAGTTAAACAGGCCAAAGTGGAGAATGTCTGGAATTCTCCCACCAAAGGGCCATCAGAAATCAACCTACAGCAATAACCTGTAAATCTCTTTTTCTGCTGCACTATAATAATTAAATCAGTGTGAGTCTAACTCTATAATAGAGAAATGTATAAGAGAATAGACAGCCCAGAAATATGCCCAATTATATATTTTAAAATGAATATATTATGAGGGCGACTTTACAAATCAGTAGTGAAAAGATCTATTATCAAATAAATATTGAGGAAAAATTGGCTAACTACTTGTAAATTTTCTTTGTAGTTGTGTTTTTTAATTATTCTCAACCACTGGACATCAAAATTTTCTTATTTAGTTTAATAAAAAAATTTCAAACTTTATAAAGTTTTAAAATTTTTTAAGTCAAACCATAAAAACATCTAGAAATACATACATAGTAACACAAATTTTAAATATTTCAAGGCCTTCTAAGTTCAAATGCAGAAGGATTCACAAAGAAAAAGATATTTAGAATTGAAAAGAAAGATATTTAAATAATTAATGGTTGAAAATGTCCTGAAGCTGATGAAAAATATCAACTTAGATATCACAGAAGGCCAGCAAACCGCTGAAGCAGGATAAATAAAAATGAAACCTCTTCAAGGCACATTAGGGTTAAAATACTATTTTCCAAAGTTACTTAGGTTAGTATGTTTCTTCTCCATCTCCTCCAGGTAGTTATGTTATTCTTTTGTAACACAGTATATTCTATTTTGAGATTAGACACACACATACACTTCACATTTTTAATTAATTATTATTGGGGGGGAGGTATGTGAAACATTATGATTCTAGGGTCAGAACTACAAAAAGATGTACTCAGAGAAGTGTCACTCCGCCTTCATCCCATTCTTTCTGACCTTTTCCCACCCATCCTCTGTAGATAAACAATGTCATTAGTTTTCTGGTTTATCCTATAGGTTTATCCTGTATTTACTGTTGCACAAATAAAGATATAAATATGTTGTGTGTGTATATATATTTGTATGTGTGTGAGTGTGTACACACTCATATCAGGGAAAGATTTCTTAAACAGGACCAGAAAACAGTAACCATAAAGGAACAAAAAATTGTACTACCTTAAAATTAAGAATGTCTGTTAATCAAAAGACACCATTTAAAGACCAGGGGATAAAAGCCAAAGACTGAGAGAAGATATTTGATATTTGCAGTACATTTATCTAATAAAAATTCATATTTAGAATAGTTGGAGAACTCCTATAAATTGATAAAAGATAGTAACCCAATAGAAAAATAGGCAAAAGGCCTGAACAGGCACTTTACCAAATGAGATGTCTACATAACCAATAAACATACAAAAAAGTGAGCAACTTTATTGCTCACCAGGGAAAGGCAAATTAAAGCAGAAATATGATACCACTGCATACCCACTGGAATGGCTAAAATGAAAAGAATAAGCAATTCCAAGTATTGCTGAGGATATGGAACAACTGGAACTCATGGGAGTATTGTTTGTTACAACCATCTTCCTTTGTTTTTTTTTTTTTTGTCCTTTTTGTGACCAGTAAGGGGATCGCAACCCTTGGCCTGGTGTCGCCCGCACCGCGCTCAGCCAGTGAGCGCACCAGCCATCCCTATATAGGATCCGAACCCGCGGCAGGAGCTCCACTGTGCTCCCAGCGCCGCACTCTCCCGAGCGCGCCACGGGCCTGGCCCACAACCATCTTCTAAAACTGTTTGTCAGTATCTAATAAAGCAGAACATATATATATCCTATAACCTAAAACTTCCATCCCTGGATTGTGGTACATCTTTATAATAATGGCCCCCAAGGAATCATGTCTCCCTGGGTCCATATCCTTTTATACTGTAATGCTGTCACTCTTCTCAGCAAGATATCTTTCACCCCCTTTGAATCTGTGGCTGGCCTTGTGACTTGCTTTAACCAAGAAAATACAGCAGAACTGATTTTCCAAAGTTCTAGCACATAGGCCTTAAGAGGCATTGGAGCTGTTGCTCTGCCCCTCTTGGACCCAGCCACCATGTAAAAAAGTCCAGAATATCCTGCTGGACAGACAGGCTGCATAAAAAGAATAGAGGCAACCAAGTTAATAGCCAACACCAAAGTCCCAGACATGTGAAGAAAACCATTTGGACTTTCCTGCCCAGGTGACCTAGAGGAGTGAGCCCAATTGATACCACATAGAACAGAGAAATGCCATTCCCAATGAGCCCTGTTCAAATGCCTGACCACGGAATCTTAAGCAATAAAATGGCTGTTGTTTTTAAGCCACTAAATTTTGGTGTGATTTGTCTTAAAGCAATAGATAACAGTAAATGAGTATGCAGCAAAAGAAATAAATACATATGTTTACCAGAGGGACACATACAAGAATGTGCACAGCAGCACCATTTAAATTGCTGAACTGAAAACAACCCAAATGCCTATAAACAACAGAATGGATAAATTATGGTGTATTCATAAAATGGAATATTATTCACAATAAGAATGACCAAATTACAAAATGGATGACTCTCACAAATACGATATTGAGTAAAAGAAGCCAGACCCAAAAGAATATATACTGTATGATTCCACTTATATAAAGAAGTTCAAAAGCAAGCAAAACTAATCTAAGGTGGAAGTCAAGAAAGTAGTTACTGGGGGCTGGCCCGTGGCTCACTCGGGAGAGTGTGGTGCTGATAACACCAAGGCCACAGGTTCGGATCCTATATAGGGATGGCCGGTTAGCTCACTGGGTGAGCGTTGGTCCTGACAACACCAAGGGTTAAGATCCCTTTACCGGTCATCTTTAAAAAAAAAAAAAAGAAAGAAAGAAAGTAGTTACTGGGGGCTGGCCCGTGGCTCACTCGGGAGAGTGTGGTGCTGATAACACCAAGGCCACAGGTTCGGATCCTATATAGGGATGGCCGGTTAGCTCACTGGGTGAGCGTTGGTCCTGACAACACCAAGGGTTAAGATCCCTTTACCGGTCATCTTTAAAAAAAAAAAAAAGAAAGAAAGAAAGTAGTTACTGGGTGGAATGGGATTGGGTAATAACTAGAAGAGGGCAGGACTGAGGGCTTCTGTGACTCTGATAAAGTTTTATTTCTTGTCCTGGGTGTTGGGTACATGGTGTGCTTATTTTGAGAAAATTTGTTGTTTGATATACTTATAATTTGTATACTTTCTTGTAATGTATGTTATACTTCAAGAAAAAGTTTACATAAAAGTATTATACCACCATCCCCTTCTCTGATAAAAAAAAAATATTTTGTTATATTTTAAAATCACCTGGAGCATTTTTTTAATGCATATTTTTTAAAAATACAAAGTCTGAGTAAATATCTCTGGGCTGGAACCCAGCCATCTGTAGCTCTGAAACTCCATAGTGATTCTGATGAAGTGAGTCCAAATTGAAATATTAGGTCATTAGCAGAAAGACTGCTGTTTCATCATTATTATATTTCCTCTCAAAAATATTTTTGCCAAAGAACACGAAGCACAAACAACTGTCTTCAAATTGCAATTATCTAAAAGAAGATGGCAAAGTACCCACTTCCACCCACTCCCCACTCCTCAGAGGTTTGGCTATTCCACCATTCAGAAAGCTTCTACTGATCATTAAATACTCTAATTAGTTTTATACATATGTACTTAGCTCAAATAATGCCATTAAAACACCATTCTTTATACCACTTTGAAGGGTATTTACCAGATTATTTAAAAAATGCTCCTATATGCCATAAACATTTTAATTAGAGCAAAAAATTGTTGGCCCAAATTAAAGAAAAATGAATTTTTAAGTCTGGCATCTACCATAAAGATAACAACAGGCAGATCTTAATTTGCAAGAGAAATACATGCCTTGTGAATAATTATCACTTTAAAATCATTTTTGAACCACACCTATATTGCCTGTCTCAGCTTCACAATGACTAGATAGATGATAGATAGTCAGATAGATAGATAGACAGATAGTTGATAGAGGTAGATAGATGATAGATGGATAGAAGGATGGACAGACACACAGAAAGACAGATGATAGATAGACAGTACAGATAGTTGATAGAAATAGATGATGGATGGATGGACGGACAGACACACAGACAGACAGGTGATAGACAGATAGGTTAGAATGCCACCTTGTAACAACAAGGTGAAAGGTTCAGATCCCTGTACTGGCAAGCTGCCAAAAAAAATTTTTTTTAAGTGGTTACATCTCCAGCCTGGATAGATAGGTGATATACAGCTAGATACATAGACAGACAGATGATACATACACACATACACACATAGAGCAAGCAGAAAACAAAGACATGATGGGGCCAACTGTGTTTAATCTGCCATTTCCCCCCAGATCTGCTGCAGGAAACACTCAAGATATTTTGATCTCTCAGCAGAAAAGTTTTGTGGATGAAAAATAAACACATTGATTCATTTACTTATTTATTTATTTATGGTGGCTGGAAAAATAAGATCCTCTTTACTAAGCTACCATTGTGCATCAATAGGTTGTGGTTCAAAGAAGGTATTCAACAAATGAATGTTGGATGAAATCTAATTCGATTTTTTGAAAAGTGAAAAAATTAAATGGCCAATTTAGTTGACACCATCCAGAGGGGAAAAAAGCCAGTTGAACTGATTTCACCAGTTGTTGGGTATCATATAGACAAGAGAGATGGGCATCTTTTAAATTTCTTAGTGTTCTCCCATATTCAGAATTTGCATATCTTGACAAGGGCTATTCAATATTTAATGACTACTTTTCAAAAGATTAAACTTTTTACTTACGTGGACTTTGCTCGCACAGATGTGCATAGTTTTCCAACATAAAGGAAAAGAAGTTGGATAGCTGGACAAAATAAAAATACATTAATCAATTAATGAACCCCAAACAGCTACTGTGGCAAATGCTATCAGTGTTCCATGCAAGTCCCCTTACTCTTCTGGGACACTCATCTCCTAGCTGCTACAGGTTCTAAGGGTCACACCTATACCTGCCTCCAGAGGGCTGCTGTGGCAGATAGGCAGCACCACACCCAGAGCTGCACAGATATTATATATATATGCCCCTCCTGGGGGGCTGACTGAAGGAAGGGTACAACAGCCCAGTCCCCCACCTCCCTTGCCCTGCCTGGGCCAAACTGTGATGCATTTCACACTTGAGAAGTCCTGATGGGATAAAGCTGAGGTCAGACTTCTCCAGAAAGCACATTTGTGCCTAGATTCTTCCCCTGTTCTATCTTGCTTTCCTCATTCCCTTACAGGTTTTTTTCTGAGAACACTCCCTCAATAAGTCATTTGTACCGGAATCATTGTCCGAGACTCTGCTTCTAGAAAATCCAACCTAAGATAGCTACTAAATTTTATTCATTATGATCTCTTTTCTTTTTGGTGGTGAGATTAAGAGTTAAGGGAAACTTAAATGCTAAATATATTTGGGAAATAAAGGAAGGGAGGAAGGGAAAGGCGGAAATCGTTCAGCATTCCAACTATCAACTACGTGGTGCCTCTGTGCCTACCAATTATCTGCAAAGACCTGCATTTATACAGCACAAATAATTTCTCCTCCAAGCGCTTCTTCCTATGAAGAGTGAACACTAATGAACTTAATCTCTTTGGGAGAAGGTCTGGGAGTTGAAGGAAGACTTTCCATACAAATATCAAAATGTATGATTTTAATGCTGTTGATGGGTTTGTCAATTAAGTGTCACTAGAAACCACAATGAGATACCACTTCACACCCAGTAGAATAGTTATAATCAAAATAACAAGTGTTGGCAAAAGATGTGGAGAAATTGCAGCCCTCATACACCATTGGGAATGTATAATGGTGCAGCTGGTTTGGAAAATGGTTAGTTACTCAAAAAGTTAAACACTGAATTATCATATGACCCAGCAATTCCACTCCTAGGTATATACCCAAAAGAACTGAAAACATATGTTTACACAAAAACTGGCACACAAATGTTCATACCAGCATTTTCCATAATAGCCAAAAAAAAAAAGGAAACAACACAAATGATCCATTAACTGAGGAATGGATAAATAAAATGTGGTCTACCCATACAATGGAATATTTTATTCAGCCATAAAAAGGAACGAAGTACTGATACATGCTACAACATAGATGAACCTTGAAAACATGCTAAGTGAAAGAAGCCAGACACAAAGGACCACATATTGTGTGATTCCATTTATGTGAAATGGCCAGAACAGGCAAAGCCACAGAGACAGAAAACACATTAGTGATTGTCTAGGGCTTTGGGAGAGGAGAATGGGGGAGTGACTAACTATGTAGTTTTGAGGGGGATGGTGAAAATTTCCTAAAATTGACTGTGGTGGATACACAACTCAGTGAATATACTAAAAATGATTGAATTGTACACTTTAAATAGATTAATTGTATGTTATCTAAATTATATCTCAACAAAGCTATTATTTTTTAAAAAATGAGTCCATAGAAAAGAAAGTACTGATACCAGAATGTCTGTGTATAAAGCATATCAATTTGGGGGCTCACTCTACCTGTATGCTCATCACTTTATGCTACAGTGCTTAAAAAGATAGCCAATACTATGAGCTCCAAATCACGGTAAAGGGAGCATCTTTTGAATCATAGTATATCATTTTCATAGCTGCCATGAATAAAGCCAGCAATTTAATTCTTTTTGAAATTTTCTTAATTATTTTAAAGATTATAATGTAATACATAAATATATGTTTGTTAAAAACTACAAACAATACTAAATGAAAATGAGAAGTCCCTACCCATCTACCAATACCACTCCTGTCCCCAGAATTAACCACTGTAAACAATTTGCTGTGTATCTTTTTCCAGACTTTTACTGTATGTTTAATTTTCTTTCACATATATGGCATAAACTCCATATATTGTCCTACAAGTTGATTTTTTTCATTAACAACTATATTGGAGATCTTTCCAAGATCTTTTTATTGTAAAAAAAAAAGTACCTTTTTTATTAATGAGCATTAAAGCTAGATTTATGTATCCTTTATGCAAGTTTTAAAAAGGCCTTCCTTACCCATGTACATTTTCTTCTAGAACTTTCATAGGTTTGTTCCCAGGAAATTCTTCCCTTTTTTAACTTCTAAAAGTATTTTTTCTTTCATAAACTAACTTTACTTTCTATTAGGGCATACACCCCAAAATAGGATAAGACTATTTTATTAGTTAACTAGACATCTGGCAGCCCTCTAAAAAATGTCAACTTCAAAACTGAAAAACACCATCCACTTCTCAAATGACACTGTCTCAATTCTCATACAATGTCACTACATCCTTTAGTAACACCTTTCACCAAGGTTCCTCAGCTTATAATGGACCTAAACTTTCATTCTTTCAATAACAAGAAGTAAAGACAAGTATTTCACCAAAAGAAGAGAGAAACTTGCAAAACAGACCTGCATTTGCCCTTGTTCATCAGCGTATTCGATGGACTGGAAGATGGTGAGAGCACAGTGTTGTCTGGCCTTCAACTGAGCTCTGTACCTTCGGTACCAGTTCTGGATGATCAATGCGGCTTTTAGCACTGCAAACCCACAGGATATGAAAGTCAGAGAGAAATAGTTACTGTGCAGCTACTGGGGGAAAGTAGGTGCTTCAGAAAAAAAAAATATCAGTCCACCTGGATTCCTAGGTTTTAAGAATATAAAAAAATCCAAATAATGAGATTGACCTTTATGTTTTTCATAAAATGTCTTTAAGTTTCAAACACTCAGAGAATAATGACAGCATAGCTATTAGGAACAGTTTTGGAGTAAGACTTCCTGAATTTAAATCTCAGCTCTGCTAATTACTGTCTATGTGACTTTGGGTGAGTCATTAAAACTCTCTAAGCCTCAGTTTCCTCATCTGTAAAATGGGGATAATGACAGCACCTACCTCTGGCACTACTTAGGCATATTAAATCTATGTATATCCTATAAGGGAGCAATTCTGTTCTTTACTATATACGCCAAAGCAATTCTCAGACAGTCCATAAAGAAGACACATGGAGATGCAACTGCATCTTTGTGGCAGTAGGGAGTTTGATACCAATACAGCCTGGCTGTCCATCGCTAGGAAAGAGACTAGTACCTGTGGTGGGTGCATACCATGGAGTATCATGCCACAACTGGATGCAATGGATTAGATAAACCCACAGCAATGTGGATAGGTCTTTAAAACATAGTGCTTCCGTTGGAATACTTGTTACAAAGTCAGAGACAGAATGAAATATAACATGATACCATTTTATATCAATTAAAAATATACATACACAAAACAACAATATACGTTTCATCAGAATATATATGAAGGAAAAGACACACACTACACTTAATAGAGTGGTTATTTATGGGGGGGGGTGAATAAGCATGGGATACATGGATAAAAGAATGCACAAATTAACATAAGAAAGGGTCTTGCACAAACCAATGACAACAATATACAATGTATTGAGAAGTATGATTCATTCCACCTTCTGCACACAAGAGTCAATTGATAGAAGACAGATGAATAAATAAACACAGCTCCCTCCCTCATAGAGTTACTATGAGGATGAAATGAAATAGTACAGGTGAAGAGTTTAGCCCAATGCCTGGTGTAAAGCACATGCTAAATACATGGCAACGATAAGTAGTGTTTTTTTGTGTGGACTATCCAGGCTTACTGTCTCTCTTCTGGGGCTGGTAACCTTTGAACCATCCTGTAGTTTTATATTATCGAAGAAAGAGATCAGGTGAGATAATGAGATTTAAAATATAGTCTCTTATGTCTCATCAAGTTTTAGAGTAAAGAGCAATCAACACCAGCTGGCTCCTTTTATTCATGCTATCATTTTTCCCAGTTAGCACATAAAAATTAAGAGTTGACTATAACAAGAACAATTTGAGTTCTGAAAGCAGGGATCCAGCCTCCAGTCCTAGCATCCTTTGGTTTAGTACTGCTGTGGTATACTGAGTATATGCCAGGACCTAGTCATCTGAAAATGTTTATTTTTGAGCTTCCCCAAGACTCTTGGGTTTCAGAGTCTTGGGGAAGCTCAAAAATAAACATCTCATCTCATTATTCAGCTTCCAGAAAACCCTGGGGACAGACCTAAGGTCAAGTACCATGATCTGTATGGTAGTAGCATTGCTGAAAAAGCAAGTGTCCTCATGATATCACTGTAGAGAGCCCAGGCACCTGAAAGGCCTGTCCTGTGTGACAGTCACTGTCACGATGAACCAACCTCTCATGTCAGGGGTTCTCGTATTCACCAAGCACAGTGGTGCAGTTCCAGTGCTATTTACTGAGTGCTTGCTGAGGACCAGTCAATGTCTTAGGTCCTGCAGTTCTGAAGCTCAGAGAGACTGAGGAACTTTAAGCTCACTTAGCCAATACATGGAAACGGACATCAAGGATATGAACCCAGGTTTGACTTGCTGGGTAAGTCAGCGAGTCAGACCTGGGTAAGCCCAAGCTCTTAACCTCCACAGAGCTACTGACGTTTCTTTGTGCCTCAGTTTCTTTACCTGTACAATGATGTAGTAGAATAAATGATTACTAAAGTCTTTTCTATTTAGTATTAGCAACATCAATAATAATATCCAAGTTTATTTTATTTCTATAATTAATAATAGATCAAAAGAGCTACCATATGTTAAGGATATACTATAAGACATTCAGTCCTCACAAGTATAATCATCTCCATGCTACCCATAAAGATACTTTGAGTTCAGAGAGGAAAGTATCTTACTCAAAGTCACTTACCTAGTATGGACTCATGTTCTCCGAGTCCAAACCCTGGGCTCTCTCCTCTATAGCCAGTCACTTCATTCTCTAATCTATTTGTCCCTTTTCTTCCTTTGAATATAGCCACCATTTATTGAATGCCTACTATGTGCCTGCACTGGCTAGACACTTTACATATCCTACCACTCCTACTCCTCCCCCACACAGGGAGACAGGCGAGCTAACACCTCCTTCCCATCCTCTGCCTGGCTTCTGTCAAGTCCCCTGTGGGGATCCCGGCCTGCTCTCCAAGGGAGGAGTGGCTGCTCTGTTTGGTAAGCACACAATACATTCCCTGAGCTCTATTCTACCAGTAGGTGCAGACGCTGTGCCTTGAGAGGTATACAGCCATGCTCAGTTTTGTCTTATACTTCCTCTACTGCAAAGTCAGGAAGCTGACCTGCACCCCACCCCCAGCTGGTAATCAGCCATCTCTGCCTGATGCCCTCCTGTACCTGCTCTGTGCACGAACGCCACTTATTAAGCTATCATGTCTCCACTGTACTCCCACCCTTCTCCAGTCAGCTCAGTGGTGCTGAGGCTGGGACTCTGCAGACCCCATTTCAGCTTTGCCAGTTGTTCCTTGTTAGTTCTCTGCCAATAGGGGCAGAAGGAGGGACAAGGGCCACACTCCTTCCTGTCAGCTTCCTGTTCCCATTAGTAGAACCCAGCAACTGCTCTTCCCTCCTGCAGCAGCAGCTGGGTCCAGTTTAGTCTATCCAGCACTTGCAAAATGAGCCTCATGGCAACCCTGAAACACCAGCTCCAGCTGAGCAGCACCTCTTCTTACAGGTCTGAGTTTCAGTTCTGTAGGACCCTCCTCCAAGTGTCTAAAGTGTGATCATTCCAATCTTTTCCCTTTGTTCTCTCAGTCCTAGGAGTGGGAACTTTCCTGCAGTTGCTAACCTCTGCAAACCTTGGAGTTCTTGTTCAGTAATCTAGTGACAATTTAGTGACAGTTCAGATATCTTCTTGACAATTCCTTACCTCCAATTCTCTCTGTTCAAATCACTGTGGTTTCTGCCTCCTGACTAGACCCTGCCTGATGAGCTAGTCTCAGAGGGGTGGGAAAAATAGGTCCTGCTTAGGCCTCAAGCCTCCAACTTCCTGGATGCTCTAAGTCAGGCTCTTACTAGAGTTCTACATTGGGATTTTGAGTACGTGTGCAGCAGTTGATAAAGTGGACTTTGATTCACATCTTGCTGTTGTCCTTTGGGCATAAAGTTCCCTTAGAAATTTCTCCTGGAGAAGGAAGGAGACTGGCAGGGCAGGACTGGGCATACCTACATCAGACCTCTAAAACCTCACTAATTCCTAAGAGTCTACCCACCTACTGTGGGGTAACAGTAGCCAGCTGTGGACCCTCCTCCAGAGCAGGAACCTCCAAAATAGCAAGATGTAGAGCTCAGACATGACAGACCCTACCCGAGGGAGTCACTGGCTCCAAAACCCCCTACCCTGCCCAGAGAGTTGAAGATCTGTATCATCCAGTTCTGAGCTTGCTAGACAGCTTACATCTGCTTCTGCTCCTGCTGCTTCATCATGTAACAGGGCTTTTCTTCCCTGTCACGTTAATTCCATGCAGAAAAAAAAAAGCTACTATCATATGTGTCCCAAGAGCCTTCTATTTTTGTTTCTAGAAGAAAGCAACAACATAGGTTTAATAAGTTACCTGGCCAATTTTGTATGCCCAGCACAGGTGGTTTCTCTATTGCCAAGCTATTTTGTGTTGTTTTGTTTCATTTTTTAATGGATTCTTTTTTCTGGTGGTGATCACTATCATGGTATTTTGCAAGAAATTAAATATCCATGAGCAAGACAAATAATAAATTCAGTACTTTTGCTTTGTGCCAGGCACTGTGCTTGGTGCTTTATGTGGATCATCTAATTTTATTTGATTTGATTTAATCCTCCCGACAGTCCTGTGAAGTGTCATTATTCTTATTTTACAGATAAGGAAACTGAGGCTCAGAAATAACTTGTTTAGGGTCACATCACTTTTCAGTGGGAGAACACAGAGTCAAATCCAGATCTCTGTAATTCCAAAACCTGGGCTCATAACCATTATGCTATACAACCCAGAGTGGCATTTGGAATCAGCCATGAAAAATGAGACTGACTATAGAATACACATTCCTCCCACACCTTCCCCCACCTCACACTCCCTATCCTCCTTACTGTCCCATTGTTCTCCACAGCACTTTTTACCATCCGACATTCTATACAGTCATTTGTTTATGTGTTTATTGTCTACCTTCCCCTGTTAGCTAAGCTACATGAGAACAGGGACTTCATTTTGTTCACTACTGCTTCTCCAGCACCTGGGGCAAGGCTTGGCAATGGATATTTGTTAAATAAACGAATGAATAAATGAATGAATACCTTCTAGGGCTGTTGTAATAACATAATAATGTATTAATAATGCATTAACACAGGTATTAGTAATATATTAATGAACTGATTAATATAAAATGCTTAGCACATGGCCTAGCATATAGGAAGCACTCAATAAATGGTAGATACTTTTTAAAGAAATTGTCTCTGTCACATACAGAATGGGAGAAAGTGTTTTCAAACTACACATCAGACAAGGGGTTAATATCCAGAACATATAAGGAATTCAAACAACTCAAGAGTAAAATACCAAATAACCCAATTAAAAAATGGACAAAGGACCTGAATACACATTTCTCATAAGAAGACATACAAATGGCCAACAAGCACATGAAAAAATGCTCAAAATCACTAATTATCAGGGAAATGCAAATTAAAACC